ATTATAACATGTTATAGTATTATAACTATATTATAAAATATTATAATTTGAAATTGCAAACAAAATGATTACATGCTTATAATAAAATGCATATTTTCAGTAAAGTGGTATGGGTGAAAATGATATATAAATTTTTATATACCAAGAACAATTTTGGGAAGATGAATGACAAAGTGGAAAAAAATTTTTGTGTGACATATTTCATACTTTAGGACTTCATTGGACTAGTGATATATCTAGTGCAAAAAACTTTAAAATGTTATATGAAAACAAAAGGGATCTTTTACAAAATAACATACTCAATACTTTAGTTGCCTACCTTAATGAGTTTGACCATAATTTTGATTTAAAAATTCCTATTTTAGTGGAAAGAGAGAGCAATTTACAAAGACAAAATTGTATAGAAAGTGCTTTAATTGATGGGTCATCTACAATAAATTTGCATTGTGATTCTTACATTTCACTTTTCTTGGTAGATTATGACAATGTGCGATATTTAATAAAAAAAAGTGATAAATGCAAATAAAATTGGGTAGACTATATACTGAAACACATCTATAAAAAAAATTTAAAGTTTAAAATTTCAGCATCCCCTCCATTCATGCACACATGTAGTCACATCAGCATTTACATCACTAAAGGCTGATGACGTCCTAAAGGGAGAAATGTGTCAAAATATTTTTTCCAATTTGTCATATAGGACATAAATGAATGGAATTGTCCATTTATATAAATAAGTGGAGTTGAGGAGGGTTAACATTAGGCTACTTGCTAAGTGTAACTTTATGTAATAAACTTTCTATTTCATTGCTTACTTACGAGTTTGTCTTCCTTATTTATTTCCCTCTGTTATCTTGAAAACACGAGATACAACATCTATAAAGAGGTATATTTCTAAATTATTGATCCTGAAATAAACTTAAAATAATTTTTGCCAACATATGTCAACAGCATTACATTTTTTCATTGCACTGAACTTCATAAATTTTGAAAATCAGTTCAAGTTTATTTACCAACTTACCTTTAGAACAAATTATGATTATATACACTTCCCTTATGTTTATATCAACCAATTTGGGGCCATAACCCACTTTGGTATTTCTAAAATTCTGGTGCCCCCTCCCGTAATATTTAATTCTTGCATATTCAAAATTTTACTGCAATTCACATGAAGGAAGCTTAAAAGGCTATTAACTTGGTCTCTAAACAAGCCTCCAAAGATCATGGTGTCCATGAAAGAGAAAAATTTAAAAAAACAAAAAGACAGTTAAATATATATATAGTTTCAAAACATATGAGTGTGGAGAGACAGGAAACACCCTGTATGCCAATTACATATGTATATATATATATACACACAAAATATTTTTATGTATGTATACTGTATACTCTCATAATAAATATTAATATTATTGTCTATACAATTTTATTATTATTACTTTTTTTAATCATTTCACCCCAAGCAAGTTAATAAAGCCACTAAGATGCAAAGGATTACTGAGTGGGAAAGAATATAAAAAAGCAAAAATATTATTAAGTAGAGAGAACAATAAAAATAGCATTTAAGAAGACAGAAGATAATGATTGACATTGCATTTGATTTTTTGAAGATGAAAGTTGAATGGAAAGCAAGAAGCTGGAAGAGAATTTCACAAGCAAATATTGCACAAGAAGAAACTGTTAGCATAGAACTTATGGTTACATTTAGTCATTTTAACTGTAAAATGATGAGACCTTACTGCCAATCTAGTACTGCACTTAAATTCATAAAGTCTAGATAACATAGAGGAAACTTAATCAGAACAATTTATAGAAAAATTACAGAAAACTACGTTACAGTAATGGGAAAGTGACTGAAGCTGAGGTGCCAGGTTATGACCAATAACATTGCATATTCTGCTTTGTATTTTATCAAGATACATAGCATATATATGGCAGAAGCACCAGACCAGATGTAGCAGCAATATTTAATGAAAGGTTGAATTACAGACTCATAAATATCTAAGATATATTCATGCAAGAAAAATTATGTAGCATAACACAGTGAACTAACTTTCCTAGCAGCAGCTGAAACATTTGATTCAATATAATTTTTCCACTTCATGCCAGCAGAAAATTTGGTGCACTGCATCACTCTCCTGGAAGTTAGCATCAGTCATGCTGATAGAAGACAAAAAGGTTCTCTCAGAAGATTAGAAGAGAATCTTTTCATTTAGAGACATTAAAATTAATCAAACATTTCTTGCTCTAGTTAATAACAGATTGCAGGTTATTTTTGAGTTCAGCTGCCAATTTGATCTTATTGGGCTAAGCAGACAAAGCATTAAGACAGAAGTAAATAGTTGTATCATCAGCATATATACTGAGTTGAGATCAGGAAGGTCATTGATGAAAATAGGAGCAATGCAGATCCAAGGATAGTCCTGGAGGGCAACTGCATTTATGCAAAAAGATGTAGAAGAGTGATTGTTCTAGACAACTTTCAGTTCATGATTTGATAAGAAAGATTGAATCAGATAAAAAATTCATCTAGAAATTAAATAACCTTTCATCTTGTGAAGAAACCAACAGCACACATCCTGTCAATTGCCTCTGAGATATCCAAAACAACATCCTGATATTCACCATTCTTATCTAAAGCTGGATAGACTCTTTCAGCAATAACTGTTAACATATCAAAAATTTACCTAGAGAAGTGAAAGCCAGATTGCTTGTCTGAAAGAAGACCCTGTGAGGTTTGATGCGTAACCTATTCAGAGTCGATTAAAACATCTAGTCCTTTGCCAAAAAGAGCTAGAAAGCTAATAGAAATTAGAAGGATCAGATGGTTTGCCTGAATTCTAAAAAACTGGAACAATAAAGGAAGATTTCTAACAATCTTGAAAGCAAGAAGCAGCAAGGCATTTATTGTAGTGTTTTGGAGAGAACAGAAGCCAGTTCAGAAGCACTTTTCTTAAGGACTATTGCATGCATTGTGAGGATCCATTTTAACAGAAATCATGGATGAAGTTATATGCGTATCACTCAATGGAGACTCGGTTCTAAGTGAAAAGTCAACAAAGATACTCCAAATGAGTCAAGAGTAGAATTTGAAGAGAATTTATGAGCAAAACATTCTGTTTTATCAACAAATGATAACACCTAAAATTTAGTGAACAGAGGAAGAATAGAAGACTTACTCATATTTAACATGCTATTACATATCCATCAGTAGTTATGAAAACCAAACTTGTTACAGGCAATACAATGTCTTATTCGGTCAGCAAGCAAAAACTTAGCCTCTTTGAGAAAATGATTGCAATTATTACAAGCTGACATAAAGAGTTATCTGTTATGATTGGAACTAAAATGCTGGTATGGCCAGAAAAGGTGATTCCTATGGTTTATAGCAGTTGAAAAAGGCAGGTGTGAATTAAGAAGAAGATTGTGATTTAACCTGGTAATACCAAGAAGGTACAAAAGCATTGATGCTGGCTTTTACCCAAGAAAATTCAGTGGCATAATTCTCAATAAGAAGGTTAAAAATATCACCCCAAGGGGTGTTGTGAAGAATGAAATGAATACCAATCAGTTTACTGGTAACAGAAAGAAGTCTTGTGAATAGGAGGTCCTTGCCTAATAGACAACTCAAAAGAAACTTACATTCATAGGCTTGGTGGTAACAAATGGATCTATGGTACAATTCTAACATTTTATTGAACTGTTTAGTAACATGACAATAAAATATCAGATAGAAAAAAGTTATGTTTTCCAACTATAATGGAAATGAATGCATGAATAAGGGACTCGTTATCTTTAAAGTCTACTCATTGTATTCTGTTGTTATATATTGTGTTAAAGTTGTGACATGTTGCATGATTGAAGGGGTTTGATCAACAGATTTTGATACAGCTGATTCTTCAGAATTGAATTCATTAGATATAAGTGCTGATCTTTAGTTGCCATTCACTCTGTGCCATCTTTTACTTCTTAGTGTTGCATGATTGCAGGGGTGTGCTCAGCAGATTCTGATGCAGCTGATTCTTCAGAATTGAATTCATCAGATATTAGTGCTGATGTTTTGTTGCCATTCACTCTGTGCCATCTTTTAATTCTCTTGACTATGAATTGTATCGGTTTTCACCCTGGTCGGGTTGAACCGGCTTCCTCCCGAGCAAGTACAGCATCACGGACATCGCTGCCAACGCTCGCCGATCCTGAGCCAGGTTACACAAAATGGCGAGCCAATCGTGATTCCACGATACTTGTTGACCCGATAGTACTGCTAGGTCATCCTTAATTGTGCTAGCCCACGTCCTCAGCTGCCCACCGACACGTTTTCACCAGCCATGAAGAGAAGGAGGGAGAAGTACATCGCGGATGAGCTCTCGCTCCGGGCGTCGAGCTACGTGCCTGAACCATCGGAGACGACGCTGGAGCAGGACGGGTGGAAGAGGACGGAGACTCAGGCGACGACGTAGAGTGGCCGTGGGCACACGATCGATTCAGAGGTATCGTAGAATGCAGCGAAGGCAATCGTTGTTAAACACTTCAAGCCTTCGTTGGTCAACCGCTCTAAGTGGCTACGTTTCGTAGCCATAGAGAAGGATAGTCCGAACAATAGCCTGATAGATGCGCCCCCTCCATAGCCGTGGAAATCTCCCGTCGCCCCCATAGTGACCACTTGAGACGCACGAATGCGGATCTTGCAGCTCCTATATGGCGTTCAACCTCAGCAGCAGCCTGCCCGGATGGTATAATGGTTGAACCAAGATAGACAAAAGACTGCACGTTCTCCAGATTGACCCTGTCCAGCGTCAGTGGCTGCCAGTTGACTGGATCAACCAGGGACAGCATAACTTTGGTCTTCGAGGCATTGATGGTCATACCCACATCCCGTGCTGCAGCTTGTACACGGTTGAGCGCAGCTTGCACATGGTTGAGCGCAGCTTGCACATCGTCACAGTTCGATCCGACAATGTCGTTCGCGTAGGCCAAATCAGACACCCTGACATTCCGACCAACCGCAACTCCAGCGTAGTCCCGAAGGGCCTTGCCGAGGATGTAGTCGATTGTATAGTTGAATAGGGTAGGGGACAGGGCACACCCTTGCCGCATACCAGTCTTCACTTCAAACGTCTCCGACTCTTCACCATAAGCACGAACACGGGCTCGCGTCGACCGGTAATAGCCCTTGATGAGACGAATGAGTTTAGAGGAAATGCCATCGGCCTCCATGATACGCCTGAGTGAGCCTCTATCAACGGTGTCGAAAGCAGCCGCAAAGTCGACGAAGCATAGGATTGTTGGTTGCTGGTATGCCCAGCGTTGTTCGATGGTGCGCCGCAGGTTGAAGATCTGATCAACACAGCCTCTACCTGAGCGGAAGCCACCCTGAGAGGGGCGAGTTCGCAGATCACGGATGCCTTGAAATCTGCGCAGGAGAAGCACTGCAAATACTTTGGCCACCACGTCGATGAGGCTGATTCCGCTGTAGTTCGAGCAGAGTCTCCTATGACACTTTTTGAAAAAAGGTAGTAGGATGGCCTCATTCCAATCGGCAGGGTTGGTCTCAGAGAGCCAGACCGCATTGAAGACACGATGAACCCACGAGGCGAATACATCTGGCACGGCTTTATATACTTTTGCAGGTATACTATCCTCACCAGGAGCCTTGTTGTTACGCAGATGGCGCAGAATATCTCACACTTCATCTACCGTTGGGGGTGCACTGTTGCAGTCGTATTCATCGGTCGGTTCAAGGGCCACTTCCGTCGCCGGAGTCGGATGATTGAGTAGCTCGTCAAAATTCTCTTTCCACCGACTTAGCCGCTCGCCCAGACCTGCGATGATAGCACCATCACGGGAGCGAAGCGTCTCACTCACCCCCGTAGTTCCGCGACTCGCCCGCCTCACCATCTGGTAGAGTTTGCGAGAGTCGCCACAGGCTACTGCACGCTCAGTCTATTCGGCGAAGGCGCACCAATGCGTATTTCGGCCAGCGCGGATGGAGTGAGTTGCGCGTCGCCGAAAATCGCGAAAGTTCGCAGCTCCTGTTAGTCGTGCTACCCTCGCCTTCTCCACCAGCCGAAGGCTCTCCCCGGTGATCCCGTGCCGATATCAGTGACGGGTGACACCAAGATGGGCGTGTGCCGCTTCGACGGTGGCAGATTTGAGAGCCTGCCATTCAATTTCTGGTTGAGGCCCTGAGCTTGGTTGGAGGAGAGAGAACCGATTGGGAAGTTCCAACCCGAACTGTTCTCCCGCGCGCAGCTTCAGATTGGCGACGTTGATTCGCTTCAGGATCTTGGTGGATCTCCTTGCCCGCAGTCGCAGACGGAGGCTTGCGCGGACAAGTGTATGATCCGATCCATACGCACTGTCCGTATCTGCACCCCGATAGGCTCGAGAGTTAAGTACAGAGCTTGCCCATCTCGCCCGTACCAGAATGTAGTCAATCTGGTTGGATGTACGACCGTCATTGGAGCGCCAGATGACGAGATGTCGTCGCGGGTGCTGGAAACAAGTGTTAGTCACCACAAGACGATTAGCGACTGCAAAGTTGACTAGGTCGCCATTGTCACACTGTGTTCCGAGGGCGAATCGACCTAGAACATGTCTGGTGCCTTCATCCGCCGGTCCTGTGCGAGCGTTCCAATCCCCTGCCACCACTAGAAGATCAGTGGAAGGGGTACGATCTACCACTGCTTGTAGGTCGCGGTAGAAGATGTCCTTGTCCTCCTCCACTGCATTCAGTGTCGGTGCGTAGACGGAGATGACGGTGACGTTTATAACAGCGCCTTTGAGACGGACCATGGCCAGCCTGTGGGAGACTGGTTCCCAAGCGAGCAGTGCTGCCCGTGCTAATGGGCTGAGAGCAATCGCAACTCCATACAGCCCGCTGTTGTCCTCCACTCCACTATTGTAAAGGTGGTAGACGCAGTCAGACTCTGGCACTTTGATTATTCTATGCCTGCGATCCGGGAGGCGGATCTCTGACAGACAGGCGACACAAACACCATAGTTGTACAGAGTCCTGACGGTGAGAGACTGCGTTCCTTCGTCGCGAAGAGTGCGGACATTCCAACCAGCAATCTTCATCACATCTCTTCTTGCAAGGACTGTAAGGACTGTTGTGGTTTGCTGATTTCTCACCGGTCCCGCCGACCAGAAGACCGGCGCGTCGGATACACATGCAGCGGACGCCCTAGTATTATTCGTATTCTTGTTAGTTGTATCGCTCATAAAGGAAGATTCATTGGGATTTGATTAAGGGAAGGGTCCCAAGTCCTACCCGAGGGAAAGAAAAAAAACGCCCTGTTTGCCGTAGATTTTCCACAGACGCATTGACAGAGCGACCCGAGGCCGCCGGTTGCCGGAACAGAGACCTCCTGGACTTTCACTAGAGTCCCTTTAGCCAGGTTTCGAACCTAATACCGCTGGGTGCCAGACCAATCCACCTTGGGTGGCCCTACCAGGAACCGAAATTCCCGACGGCATAGCCTTGGCATTACCACGTTGCCACCGTCCTGCTACGTTGAGGAGGGGTTGGACTTTTAGGGCGGATCTTTTACTTCTCAGTGTTGTATGATTGAAATAGTCTGCTCAACAGAGTTTATTACAGCTGATTCTTCAGAGTTGAATTCATCATATATAAGTGCTGATCTTTAGTTGCTATTTGCTCTTTACCATCTATTTCTCAGTGTTGCATGATTGAAGGGGTCTGATCAACAGATTCTGTTACAGTTGATTCTTCAGATATAAGTGCTGATCTTTGGTTACTATTTTCTCTCTGTTATCTATTTCTTCTATACGTTTGTCCTGATGCCATTGTAACAATGTATGTCCTTTCTTTGTCACATTTATTAGTGACATTTGCTGGTGCCCAAGTTTTATCATCTAATTATACTTGTTCACAATCACCATGTTTTGACAATGAAAGTTCTTTCCCTGAATGTTGGTAGTTAATATTTCTGCTGTTGTTTTTGTTATTGAATACGTCTTTTCCAAATGACATAGTTCTAGTGATTGGTTGCTAGCATTTACCTCCAATCTTTTCAATAGTTCTAAGTTCACACATGCATCTTTTCTCAGAATTGGTGAAACGTTCACGTTAACAACTTGAAATGTCAAGTATCTTACCTTGTTGTTGACTAAACATTTCAATTTTACTTGATCTTCAGGTTGGAAGATGTGTTGACTGTAAATCTTCAGTTGGACTTTGGTAGTCTGTACCTGACTGGTGTAATATCTATGTGCTACATTCTTGGATATTATTTTGGCTTGTGCTGTATTCTCCAGCTTGAAATTAATGGTTGTAGTGCCATTTAATACTTATCTCTTTTGTCCACTGGACGTCACAACATTTGTTTTTAGTATGATGTCATTTAAAAATAGGAAGCAGTATGATGAGTCATCACTTTCCTTGACATTTATTTTTTATACTAATATCACATCATGTCAGGTAAATTACCAGATAATGGGTGAACTATGGAAGAAAGGAATATTTCCAATCTGTGTTTCTTCCATTATGGACATTATTATAGCCATGCTATAATAACACCTTAATAAATGGATGGAACAGAATGACAAACATGCTTGTTCTCAGAGTGAGATTTATACAAAATTATATACAAATATTTACATGTGTCCAATGTAGAGAAATCATAATACATATAGGTAACAACAAGCAGTGTGAAAAGGAGAACTTGTTTTTCTTTATTTGTAAGTTTGTATGTTATACTATAGCCATAAACTCTTAAATGCATTAAAAAAAATCCATAAGAAATATCCAATTACATCACTAGAAAATTCTAAAATAAAACTTTGGAAATATTTTGAGTTTTTACCCTTTTACTTGGTAAAATTGAATTTTCAGTTTGGGGTAACCTTTTTCAAGAACTAAAACAAATTAATGCTTTTTCATTAATTTTGCACAAAAGTTCATTGATTTATAACACTGGAACATAGTGTCACAAAAAAGTCATAACCCTAGTAAACATGTTCCAAAATAAGAGAAGTATTGACAGTATATCAACAAACTATATTTCCTCCTTGGGTATTAAAAGAGGCTTATACACTTTTATACATATAATTATACATATGCTAAATACTAACCTGATATATTATTTCATTTCTCTTACATCTGTTGATACAATATAGCAAATATTGTTTGGTTTTTATTTGGTTTGGTTTGTTTTACGACATATCAATCTCTATGGGTTATTTAGTGCCAACAAGAGTTTTATTGCTGGAAATATTTGTTTTTCAAAAATGTATTGCTGGTAATAATTTTTTCTTCAAACATTCATTGCTGGTAATAACCTTTTACAAAAATTTATTGCTTGTATTAAAACCTACTTTTAAATTTTCATAGCGTTTCAATACCAGTTTAGGGGTCAACTATTTGCCCATAGCTGTGACCTTAACAGATGCTACCACCCTGGGTCATGGTGGACCTGGGAACATCAGCAATTAAGATGTGGATCCATGCTCCTCAAAAACTTCTGATCATAAGCCTTGCTGTAGGATGTAGTTTAATGTCTTACCCTGTACACAGATGTAGTTCATCAGGATGGGCAAATATTGTAAGTGAGGTAACTGAATAAGTTAGGTATCATCCCATACATGTACAATGCAGGACAGGTTTGGTGATCATACAGGCCAGGGAAGATGTCAAAGATCTTGAGGTATACAGATATCATGTGGGCAGAATGTGAACTGTTAGAACAGTATATTGGATTCTTGTTGCAAGAATGGCAGCAGAATAGGTTGAACATTGTTTCAGACATACATGGTGCTGATCAACATTCCTTCTACAAACATTGAATATCATTTATGGCATCACTCCACACTATGATGCCAGGAATTTCAGGAATTGTTCTTGTGTTATATATGGATACACTTTCCAGATCTATCTATATTTCTGAAATGAGGTATTGTAATTATTTACACTAATACTATTGTCCTCATCTTTATCATCATAATCATGACATTTTAGCTGTTGTCTGCTCTGGTCTTCTTCAGGTGATATATATTGGAATTTCAAACTCACTGCTTTATTTTATCCACAGGGGTAGATTGTTCTAGTTCCACATGCCATGCCTTTTCTGGAAATCTCAGTTTCTGTTATTTTCCTTTAGTAACTCAACTCTCCAAGTTTTTGTTCATACCAGGTATTGAACTCTTTGGGTCAAGTCAAGTCACTGGATTATTTCAGCAAATACTTTTATCCACTGGATCTAATTAATTTATCAGTAGCTTGAATTTTTCCTCTGGGTGAAGCTGGTATGTATGGTCTTGAATAACATGTGCCTACATTGCAGAGTAGTGTTTTGTCTCTAACAGGGACAGAATGTTCCTTTAATTGTAAGGAAGTGTCCTCTTTTACTTTTTCTAGTGTGGAATCTTTTTGTTCTGTAATGAGATTGAAGGTAAGACTTTCAGGATCTAAAGAATAATGTAATGGATATCCAATGTAAATTAGAATATATAGTCCAGTTGTCAAGTATCTCTGGGGTGTATTTATGTGTTTTTATATGTAAGAGGCTTGTGATCTTTGAAAACAGTAAAATTTTGTCCTTCAAATAGATGACAGAAATTACTTACAGACAAATAAATTGCAAATAATTCCCTCGGGAAGACACTGTATTTCTGTTGTGCTTTGTTTAATTTTACAGAGAAAAATGAAATTGATCTGTATATGCCATTTTGCTTTTGATGTAGGACTGCTCCAATTGAGTTTGAAGAAGCATCAGCCATTAATGTAAGTGCTAAATCATCATCTCCACAGATTTAGGAGAGTTTAACAAAATTTGATAGCATTTTTTTTAGAGAAATGCAGTTAATGTTTCTCCTTCTAGGATTATTTTTGCATTGTTACTTTTTTGTTTCTGTCAGAAATTTGGGAGTGGAGCAAAATTTTGGCACAACTTGGAATAAATCTTTGGTAATAATTAATTAAACCAAGGTATCTCCACAGTTGCCATAGCAATGTTGGTTGTGGAAATTGCTGTATGCTGCAACTTTCTCTGGAATAGGTGCTATATCATGTTTATCAATCATATGGCCCAAGAAGGTCAACTGAGTAATAGTGAATTTACATTTGTTCACATTTATTTTTAAACCAAAATGTGCTAGTCTCTCAAAAACTTGTTGTAAATGGTCATGATCTTCTTTGGTATCCTGGCTAGTTATGATAACATCATCAATATATGCAATGGCAAAAGTTAACATTCTCAGCACTTCATCTATTAGTCTTTGGAAACTCTGAGCTGCATTATGTAAACCAAAAGGCATCCTTGTGAACTCATGGAGCCCAAAACGTGTGGTAATTTCTGTTTTCTTTATATTTTCTGTTTTCTTTATATTTTCTTCTGCTGCTGGAATTTGGTAATATACTTTAAACAAATCCAGTTTTGTGAAGATTTCTGTGAGATGGTGAAATCGTGTATATGTGGGATGGGGTATCTATCTGGAACCGTTTTTACATTGATATTCTGGAAATCCCCACAAGGTCATCAAGCCCCTGTGTTTGGTTTTGGAACTAGTTGAAAAAGCTGCTCGAATAGCATATGATACCTAGTTGGAATATATGCTGAAATTTTGCTATTTTGTATTTATCAGGATATAATCTGAATGGTGATGCATGGATTGGAGGTCCCAATGTGATGTCTAGTAGAATGGCAAATTTCGTCTGTGTGCTTTTTAAAGGAGTGATAATAAAAGGAAATTTTTTTTAACAACTCTTGTATTCCACTATCAATTGGTAAGGCAGTGCTAATTTCTTTTTAGATATACAATGAAGTGATGAGAGTAGTTTGGATTTTAGATCCATTTGCACCCAAATTGTGTGTATGTGGACAATGTGTGTTTCTGCTTGGGGTCCAGTAGAATAACACTGATTGGCTAAAAATAAGTATCTGGTATTTTTGTTACAGATATAAAATAGGCAATGTCCATGTTCCAGTAGCTAATGCCGCCTTTACTTGCTGCCAGAATATCTGTTTCTCTGATATGCTGTTTGTCTTTTTCTTTAGTTGAAAGCACATGGTTCTATGCATTTCTTTGCATGTTGTCCAAATTTGTAATGATACCAACAGATATATTTTAGTTTCCCTTGGGATTTACTCGTTCTTGTTCTGTGTGGAGAGTAGGAATTGTTTTTAAAGTCTGCATGAGAGTAATGGCTATTTTGCTGTTGATTTTTCTAGCTTGTCCGTTATGGTGAATGTAGTGTATACATT